CCTGATACGTTTCTAAAAAGAAAAGAACGCTATAGTAAATTCTTAGTTAACATTTATTAAGCCTACTTTTGGCCAGGCTCTTTATGTATACTTTCTCAGTATTGCCCAGACTTTGGGCATTTGTGTACCTCCTTCCAAATTTTTGCCAGATGAGAGTACTATTATTTATATTTCATATTTTTTTAAAATTAGTTTTAGGTTAAACTGACTTTTTAAATAACTTAATCTTGTCCTAAGCAAGAATGCTAGTAAAATAACTTGATATGATAGTTATTTTTTAATATTCATTGTAATAAATAAAACTACTAAAATTGAAAATCTTTGTTTAGATGCTATCTAAAATCATCTTGCCTAGCACAGTGCGACATTTTGGGAAATACTACATTATCTCAGTTAATTTTTGAAATGTCCCAGTGAGGTAAATACTATTATTATCCCCAGATTACAGGCTTAGCATTGTAAGTTGGCCAAGGTCGTACTGCTTATAAGTGACAGAGCCTGAACTCAGGCCAGTCTGTCTGATTCCAGAGCCCATGCTCTTAAAGCCCATGATGTCCCATCATGCCATGGAGCCCCCTGTTTGTGCCTCTGAGATTGCGCTTATCAAGTGTTCATAAAAAATGACACAGACAGTAATAGGAGGTAGACAGAGGACCAAGTAAGGCTCTCCAGGGTACTTTTGCGTGAATTTCTTTTCATTACATGGAAGTGAACATTAACAAATTGTATCGATGAGACTTTGTTGCCTGAAATTTGGGGTTCAGTATACTTGGAATAAAATCTGTTCTTAAAGTAAAATTGAGACTCTCTGCCTTCAAAATCCTTCACGATCTGGCCCAGTCTTTCCTCTCCAGCCTCATCCCTGATGCCATCGGTTGCTCACTCAGTTGGCCTGCTGACTGTTCCCCCCACTGCCTGTAATACTTAACCCTTGCTCGAGATGACTGCTCCTTCTCATCCTCAGCTAAAACTTTCAGATGTCATCTTACCCGAACATTTTATCTAAAGTAAAACTTGCTGTTATTCTTTATCATAGTCCCTTATTTATTTCCTTGCTAGGACTTACCACAAGCAGTATTTGGTTTTGGGGGATGATTGATCTGTCAGTTGTGTGTACACCTGGAGAAAAGCTAAAGCTTAAGAAACTGTTAAGGGTTTGTTCCAAAAATCCAGGGCCTCACAAATGGAAATAAAGAGGTGTGTGAGGATTCAACAGATTGGGTATGAACAGTGAGAGGGATTGCAGTAAACAAAGCTTTTGAGTTTGAAGGAACAGTGTAGTAATGGTAGTGGTAGAGAAATCTGAAAGGAGTACCAACTACTTTTAGGAGAAGGCATTATCTTTTTGAATTTTTAACATGTTAAAACTCAAGTGGATTCAGCAATGCATAAAAAGAATTATACACCATGTCCCAGTGAGATTTATTCTGGGTTTGCAAGAGTGTTTCAACATTTGAAAATCAATTGATGTAATACACCATATCAACAGGCTAAAGAAAACCCGAGTAGAATAGTTAAAAGGATTGGTTGAGAACACAGGGATTCCCAATGCTTACAGATTTTTGCAATAAAAGAAGCGGAGCAGTGTTACGGAAATCAGGCTTGTAGTTTATAAACATGTCATAAAATTGAAATCTCCTAATTATCTGCCATTGGAGGCTTTTCATACTCTATTCTTACTCTCCCTGTCTAGGTTTAAGTTTTACCAGTTTCCAGTACAGCCAGATTAGTATCCTTGGTGCCCTTCAGCCTTGTTGAGCTCATTTTAGAGACTCCTTAGTACAGATTTCGGCTCTGTCATCAACTAGCTTTACTTTGACTTCGGGCAAGTCACTTCAGTTTTCTCATCTGTACATGGGGATTATAGTAATAATTTGGCATGTATTAAATGCATAATAAGCATTAAGTATTTATCGCTCTTCCATCCTATATCTATATCCCCCTTCTTTAAATTCCTGTAGCTCTAAATGGACGCTAAACAAGCTCCTAATGCCAGTGACGAGGGTAGAGCTTGGTTAGAGGAGCACAGGGAGGTGAGGATTTTAAGAACGCCTGCGATTAGTTTGGTGCACAGTTGAAGTTAAGAAAGAAAGAATACCACATTAATACAAAGGTTACTTGAAAAAATAAGCACTGAAGGAGGAAAACACTTTTTAAACGCCAGATTTTACCATAGAGAATTCATGGGTAACCTTAGAATATTAGTGGTGAGTTGCCAGTAGTCTCAGGAGGGAACCTGAGAAGTGACATTGTAAAGGAGCCATTATGATACTTTGAAGAGGTGAGAAAATTATTTTCCCTTGTGTGGTTACATCAGTTTTGGTCATGAGAATTTGGAGGCAGTGCATTCCGTTTTGGACATACCTGATGGATGGGTTCCCATCTTGAAGAGTGAAGAATCCTTTGGTTAACTATTTAATCTCCCCCTCCCAATTTATTTTATAGTAGATTCATATTTCTACTTGACTAATTAAAGCTAAGTTTATTGGATGGAGACTTGACTGCATTTAAAGATTTATTGTAAGAAAAATTAGTTAGCTTTAGAATGTTCAGAATGATAGGCTGATTTATAGACATTTCTGTCTTCCTTTGTCCTGAATTTTATTTGTATTTATTTGATCATAACTTTTTTCAACTGCATTTCAGCAATGGTTTTATTTTTGTGCTCTCTCATATATATCAGATTAGGGTTGTCTTCCTTTGCTTAAAAAACTTTGGCAAGTATACTTCACTGCAGTTTTGAAATTTCTATATTAATCAGCTTTCATTGTCGAACGGTATTCCCACATAGTCACCTGAACTTGACACATTGTTCTGGATGATTTAAAATAATGTTATTTTGTGTTTGCCTGACACTCACGTGGGCATAGTTCAGTAACAACTGATTCAGTAACCAGACAAGTGGCCATACGAAAACCAAACCCGTTGTCATCTGGTCAATTTTGACTCATACCCACCCTATAGGACAGAGTAGAAATGCCTCCTTGGGTTTCCAAGGTTGTACATCTTTACAGAAGCAGATTGCCACATCTTTTTCCTGCTGAATGGCTCATGAGTTTGAACCACCAACGTTTCAGTCAACAGCTGAGCGCTTAACCACTGTGCCTCCAGGACCCCTTAAATAGCCATAGAAGCCTTTAAAAGTAAGGGAGAGTAGGTGTGTACTTTCGTGGTTTATAGGTAATAATCTAATGTTTAATTAACTCAGGTCATTTAACAAACATTAGTGAATTAACCAACAATGTGCTAATCATTGGGTTGACAAAAACAAGACATTAGCTCATTTGGTTAGTATCCTGGCCTTTTTTCAGTCTGTTATCTATAGGTGAGGTCTTTGATGGTTAGAGTGGTTGTGATTTGTCCCAGATCATAGTGGTAGAATTAGGGTTACCACCACCAGTTCTACTGAGTCGCTCCTGAATCACGTTGACCCCATTTGTGCCAGAGTTGAACTGTGCTCCGTAGAATTTTCAATGGCTGATTTTTCACAAGTAGATTGCCAGGCTTTATTTCCAAGGCACCTCTGGGTGGACTTGAACCTCCAGCCTTTCAGTTAGCAGCCTAGTGCTTAGAGTTAGGGTTAGAACTAAATTAATCTCATTTCTCGTCCAGTGTCCTTTTCTTAACTGCTTCTGTGTTTTACATAACTCTATGGCGAAACCTTTGGAATGGCTTCCTTTCATGCAGACGTCTGTCACACACTTAACCATTCAGTTTGTGACTGGCTTTCCAAGTTAGCAACCATAAAATGAGATAACATAGGGTAAGACACCAAGAGTAGTTTTATTTTTAAACTCACCAGTAAGTAAACATTTTGGTAATTGCTGATGGTTAAAAAGACACACACCTAAAGACTTTCCTGGATTAATGAGCATTATATAGTTAGTATATATTTAGTATACTTCATTATACTTAGTGGTGGCTATTGGAAAATTTAAGACATTTTGGAGTAAATGTGTACGTCTCTGAGAATAACACAGAGATTTTGACTGTTAGTGCTGTTTGAACTCAGATACAGAGTTTAGATTAAAGTTTTTCCTTCACACATAAGGATTATCTTCCAGCCCGGTACTTGTAAACCAGGGATAGCCTGTACTGATACAGTGTAGAATACCTCTGATTTCATGTTTTAGAGCATGGCTTGCATATTAGGTTAGATTATTAAAATACTGAATTGTTTATATTGTTTGCTGTTTATGAACACACATGTACTGTTCTGAGCTTACCTAGTTCATAAATATTTTTCTTTCCTCTCTGACTTCCCTAAAATTAATGATGTGTAATACTGGAAATCTGGTTTTGTTTTTGGTGGTGCAGTTGTTCCTTTTCTGCATACAGATACTTAGAAAAATGTTAAACTTGCATTTTGAGAGGTGGAAAGCAGATACGAATTAAGAGCTGGAACATTGTTTATCACTATAAAGTGTTTTTCATTTATTTAGACAGATAGGAAATTATTTTAGCCTGAATGATCCTTTGAAAAAAACTGCATAGTTTTAAAACTTAGACATTGGTCTTCTTTTAAATTCATAATAAGCTTATGCACAGAAAACATTGAAGGTAGTTATTATCATTTTGGTTATATTTTTAGATCTGTCTCATTTGTAGAGGTGAGAAGAGCTTTGTAGCATAAACTGCTTCCTTTTTGTTCGTTAATCTGGTTTTGGTTAAGGGCAAAAAAAAAAAAGAAACTTAAAACACCATATTGTCATCTTAGTTTTTATTACATGATTCCGTGTGGAAGATTGTGGGAACGCTCAATCTTTCAGGAGATTTACTGTGCATACTCTGTGTGCTTGTTCACATGCATATGATTCTTTAAAGCAAAAGTCGAGACTTTTCCTACCGGTTCATATTTTTCTGAGTGTTTTTGGTATTGCACTGGGAGTTTAGATATTTAATAACTAATAAAAGAAACTTTGTATAAATTTTACTCAGAAAGATGACCTATGTGGATAGTAGTTGATTTAGTTAATTATTCATTGTGTTTTGTTTTACAGAGAGCTAGTCAGCCAGGCCAGGCAATACGCTATTGCTGCTGAAAAAAAGAATTATGTTCAAGAGGAGTCCATGTCTGCTCATAGAAGGAATACCAGTCGATTTGATTGGGCTCTAATGAGACTAGATAATTCTGTCCGAAGAACTGGCCGTATCCCAAAAACACTTCTACAGAGAGTCTTTAATAACACATGCCACTCAGGTATTTCAAAATTTTATGTTCAAAAAGTTGAACTGTTTTATAAGAATGTATTTGGGGGCAAGCTCATTATAGAGCACATAATTTGAGAGTTTTAGTTCTATTGATCATGATTTTATGCTATGACTCATTTTTCAGCATAGCCTGGCAAAATTGGGAATATCTAGAACATTTTGTTTTAGATGTTTATTCTGTAGTCAGCAAATAAAAATTGTCTTTTTGCTTTGCATAGCTTGTAGAAGAATTACTTTCAGTGATGAGTTGTTTCAGAAGATAACTGTTTTTTCTTAATCTTCCATTGTATAATGTCAGTTGTTCCTAAGATGATTTCCAGAAAGACTAATCATTATTTCCCCTTCATTTTCACTTAGCTACTAATATCTATCTGGGCTGCTTATACCTTTGATATGCTGATGAAAGCCATAGGTACTCTTACCACCCCCGTCTCAAAAAAAAAAAAAATTGCCCACATACAGATTTTTATATGCACATTAAGGGCATTTATCAGCTTCATGAAGCCCATCTGATGGGTTTCAACTAGATTAAGAAGCATAGCTGTAGAACTTGATGAGGGATACCAAAGAAGTATAAATTATAACAATACAATTGTGCGCATTTAGAGATTGAGTATCATTTGGAGCCCTGGTGGGTTGGTGGTTAAGAGCTACGGCTGCTAACCAAAAGGTCGGCAGTTCAGATCCACCAGGCGCATCTTGGCAACCCCATTGGGCAGTTCTGCTCTGTCCTGTAGGGTCGCTATGAGTTGGAATTGACTCCATGGCAGTGGTTTGGTTTGGTATCACTTCTTTCTCTAACTTTTTGTTTTTATACTTCAGTTGTTTTGTTTTTTAATAGCTTTATTGAGATACTATACAGTTCACCCATTTGAAGTGTACAGTTCAGTGGGTCTTCACAGCATTGTACAGTCATCACCACAATCAATTTTAGAGCATTTTCATCACCCCACGCCCCTAGCCATCATCCCCAATCCCTTCATCCCTTCGAGCCCTAGACAACCACTAGTCTACTTTCTATCTCTGTAGCATTGTACAGTCATCACCACAATCAATTTTAGAGCATTTTCATCACCCCATGCCCCTAGCCATCATCCCCAGTCCCTTCATCCCTTCCAGCCCTAGACAACCACTAGTCTACTTTCTATCTCTGTAGATTGCCTGTTCTGGGTATTTCATATAAATGAAATCATACAATAGGTTATTTTGTTTTAAAGTCATGCTTTTAGGTGCATGTAGATAAAAGTCATAGATAAAGAGAGAAGGAAGTTTATGTTATTTCGTAACTGATTATAAACCTAAATTTATTATTCCTGGGTTTTACTTGTCCAGCTTTGTACAATTCCATAAGACACTGAAAAGCTTAGCCTTTGAATTGCAGCAAACACTGCTTATGAATTAGGCGTTTTGTATTTAATAGATTACGTATATTCATGATCTTAGTTTCCTTAACAAAGCACACTGATGTTAAAAATTCAAGTTATAATTTTTAATAAAATTGTAAATGATACTTGTGGATGAGGATAGAATTTTTCCGATTTATGCCTACTGTCTTAATTTTACCTGTGGTGGACCAGGAGATGCTTGAGTATTTGGAGATTTCAGTTTAAATTTTGGTATTTATCTCTGTGATATTGGTTCTGTGTTAAATAGTATCCATTAACCTTTTTTTTTTCAATAGGTAGCCCTGGTAGTAATCAAGCCTTGCTTCTACTGCGCAGCTGTGGTTCTCTCTTGCCTGAACTAAAGCTCTCAGAGCGAACAGAATTTGTTCATAGGATATGGGACAAACTTCAGAAATTGGGTATGATTGTTTGATTGTAGATATATATAAAAGGTGTAGATATTTTTTCTTTTAGAAAAAAAGTGTTTATGTAAATGCTGTAATGCAATCTTATGCAAGGGCTACTTGATTTATAATTTTTTTTTGGTAATATGATTTATTTGGTGAGTTACAGTGACATCTAGGGGCAATAATGAAATAATTTTTCTTAACTTTTCATAGGTATTACTTTTACATCAAGTTGAGAAAAAGCACAAAGTAGAAGACTTTTTGGCCTGTCAAAGTTAGAAATGCACATACTGTTTGACCAGGCAGTTGCATTTGTTAGAATTTAGATACAGACACACTCACGTGTGCAAAAGGAAATTATTTTTTGTAGCTTGTTTCTAATAGTAAGAAATTGGAACCAATCCTACTGTCCCTCACTAGGAGATTAGATAAATAAATTATGGAATATCCATACAGTAGAATACTGTGCACCTGTTAAAAAACATAAAAGAATTCTTCATATACTCATGGGAATATTCTTTAAGATATAAATGAAAATTAAGATTCAGAACAGTGTGTATAGTATCCTACCACTTTAAAGTCTTTACGTGTGTATATGTATGTGTGTGTGTACACATATACATATCAAATATTAAAGTATTTCTGGAAGGATGTACTAGCAACTGGTAAATACTGGATGCAATTTTTATTCTATACCAAGTTTCAGTTTTGAACCATGAGAATATAGTACCTGTTCAAAATACAGTTTGAAAAGGCCATTTGAAAAAATCTTTAACATAGTAAAATCTAAAACCAACAACTAATACATGTAATGGCAATGGAATAAGCTGTGAAACAATAATAGAAATTATTATTTTTTGGGTATTGTGATTGTTTACCTGTAAAATCCAGTAAAATTAACTTATAATAAAGTAGCTAGAGATATAAAATGTTCAAGAATCTCTAACTTTCCTAGTTAGCAAATAAAATGTGTAAAAACATTCAATTCAGTTTAGCCACAAAAAATATAAACTGGGAATATTATTCAAGAAATGTGTAGGACCTATATGCAGAAGACTACTACAGAGTAAAGCCAGATCCTTGCAGTTTTGAATTCATCTAGAATTCATTTTGATGACTAGTTCATTTTTTTAAAGTTTTAAGAAGTATAGATAAATGTTGGATTTCAGGATGAAATATTTTTGCCATCCATAGAATTGTGACCTGGTAGCTATTAACCTGCCAGTGTGTGTTGAGGGGGGGAACCTGGTAGTGTTCTGCTGCTGAACATTGATCTTGACCAAAATCAGTATGAAAAGCTGGCAGAGATATTACCTGTCTAGGTTTTGAATAGTTTCCTCAGTTTCTCCAACAACACTCCAGCTAGAATGAATCCTTTCACAAGATTATAGACTATACCTTCCTTCAGCATTGGAGCTGTAGCCAATCATTGTTGAAGAGTTTAACTTGATGATTTTTTAAAAGACGTTTTCTGACACTATACAGTAATTTTGTTGTGTAGTTGTATTGCAGAAGTTCAGTTGCACATGGTTCCCTACAAGGCCCTGTGTAAAATGCTAGAGTTGGGTTCTCTAACCTAGATTCCTAACATACCATCTAGATTCAAACCCTGTGGTCACTTACTAGCCATGTGGCCTCTGACAAATGGAAGAATCAGTTTTCCTGATCTGTAAGATAAGGATGATAGTAGTACCTGCCTCAGTGCCGTTGTGAAGGATAACTGAGCCTCTGTATTCAGAGCACTTAGTTCAGTGCCTGAAACATATTACATCTACATGTTTGCTATTATCAAAACAAGTATCAATTTAATAGAACAGGTTTCTGCTGCATAGAATCTCATAATCTGGTGCTAGCTGTTGATCACTGTCCTGTGTGGCCACAGGCAGTTGAATAAAAATACAAAATTTAACTGGTGAGATTTTAGTGAAACATATGGTAGGACTTGAGACTGATGTGATGGCTGTGGTGTCGGGAGTAGAGTGGTTAGAGTAAGGCTGAGTGGTAACCTTAATTGGTGTAGCCTGAGGCAGATGGACACACAATGATTTTAAAGGGCATTGGGAATACAGGTAATTAACAGTGTCAGACTAGAAATGGTGTTCAGCAGCTGGAATTGGAGTGGTTTCTTGAAGCAAAGGTTTTGAGTAGCCTGGGTAGTAAACAAGCAAAATTGCCAACTCAGTCTTACCTGTAAAAAACAATTACAGTCATAATTCACCCATCTCAGTGTGTCTGTGATGTGGTGAGGATGCTGAATATAGAAAAATCTTCCAGTCACTTTTAAATGTAGGGGCATTGTCAGCATTTTCTAACAGGAAGGGAGTACTGTGCTTCATAAGTAAGAGACCTCTTAATATCCCAGTAGGCAGTTACTTATAACTGTATGGTAATTATTGTCTTAAACATGCTTAACTTGCTCTGTTCTGACAGGATTTCTATATAGACGAGTCTAAGTATTAAGGTAGATGAGTGAAATGCTAATGTGGTATACCCCGCCCCCCCCTTTTTGGGCTCAATTTAGCTGCACGTGATTTATTTCAATAGTGATTAAGATACTTTTCTAAAAATTTGATCAACAAAAATTTGATTAACATTTCATTTGTAGGTACTGTGTATGATGTAAGTCACTACAATGCTTTACTTAAAGTCTATCTTCAGAATGAACATAAATTCTCACCAACTGACTTCTTGGCAAAAATGGAGGAAGCAAATATTCAACCCAATCGAGTAGGTGTTTGCTATTGCAAATCATTATTGGTCATGTTCACTTCTTTTTTTTTTTAACCCAGAAAAAATATTAACTAGCCCATTTAATTGACAGGTGACATATCAGAGGTTGATTGCTGCTTATTGTAATGTAGGAGATATTGAAGGTGCCAGGTATGGCTCTCTATACATTTGTAAATTTTGTAAACCTAGAATGTTTTCACTCTTTTTTTTTTAAAAAGAATGTTTCTTCTTTAGTAAGGGAAATTATTTTGGAAGCATTTTAATCTAACAAATATGATTTGGATAAAATACAAAATTTTTGTGTAAGAGGAAAAATAGGTTCATAATTGATGTTTTAATTAAAAATTTGATTTACTGGAACTGAGGTTTGAAGTGGTTGAGGCATAAAACTGGCTTTACTTTTTTTCTTTTTTTGAATATTTCCTAATGTTCTTAGCCATTTAAACTGTTCATTTTAAGAACTGGGAATAATTGCTTTACCCCACTGATTCATATAAAATCAGTTCCAGTGTTTTTTCTGCTTGTGTAAAATTTATTATTACTGCTTCTAGATGGAGGATTTGGGAAATAAGGGAAACTTGAACTGTACAATCTCATTTTTAAGTAAATGAATCTTATTAAACTTTATGCTTTTTCAGGGTTAATTAATAGTATAGAACAATCAGATTTTTTAAAGTTGGTAGTTTTAAAAAGAGTACCTCTGTATTTTCAGGGAATAGGGTTTGGTGGGAAGGAGTAGGTTTTCACTTTGAAGTTTTAAAACAAATATGTGTTACTATTAATTTTTAGAAACAGAAATGAGATAAAGTAATTCAAGGCCTGATTCTGTACATGTTGTAAAAACTTTTTGATGTGTATTTCCAAGGAAAGTCTTCATTTCTTTTCTGTTACAGCAAAATTCTTGGATTTATGAAAAGCAAGGATCTTCCAGTCACAGAGGCAGTATTCAGTGCCCTTGTTACAGGGCATGCAAGAGCTGGGTAATGTTCAAAATAAGATCTTGGTTCTTAAGTGAGGTTTAAATTAGAAAATTATTAAACCATGTTTAACTACCACCTCAAAAAATCTGAGTGAGGGAGGTGGAGCGTATTAGTTCTTTCAATAACTTGTTCTTAATGTTTCACACAACTTTAAAATTATCCTGCTTTAAAAATTGGGCCTGAATTGTACGTGTAAAAACTGTTGAATTGGTGTATGTTTTGCTGTGTATATTCCAAACAACAACAACAAAATAAATAAAATTTAGAAAGAAAAAAAAAATTGGGCCTGATCCATAGTAACTAACTTTGTGAAGCTTATTACTGCTTTGCTGGTGTCCTGGAAAATATATTTTTGAAGAGCAATTTAATAAATGTTATTTTTCCCTTAAAAGACTAATTTGAGCCATAATATGGTATACTTAGTGTAAGAGAGCACATTATTTAATGTTCATGTATTTATTATACAATTTGATTTCTTTTTTGGAAAAGTTACTTGTACAGATTTGAGGTGTTTATGATCTTATTTCAAAAACATAACCAGTTTAAAGTATACTTGTCCTTTTTTGACATTATCATAATTCTGAATTGTGCTAAGAATTTTTAATTTTAATAAGCATAGGTAATAAATTTTAGATTGAATAGTAATATTGTATCTGACAACTTGACATTATTATAGTAGTCTGAAGGAGCCCTGGTGGTGCAGTGGTTAAAGTGGTCGGCTGCTAACTGAAAGGTTGGCGGTTCATATCCACCAGCCGCTCCACGGAAGAAAGATGTGGCAGTCTGCCTCCGTAAAGATTTCAGCCTTGGAAACTCTATGGGGTAGTTCGTGTAAGTTCGCTAGGAGTCGGGATTGACTCAGCGGCAGTGGGTTTCGTTTTGGATAGTAGTCTGTTTTATTTTCTTTTGATTAACTTGCAGGGATATGGAGAATGCAGAAAATGTTCTCACAGTGATGAAACAGGCTGGAATTGAGCCTGGTCCAGACACATACCTGGCATTGTTGAACGCGTATGCTGAGAAGGGTAACATTGACCATGTTAAGCAGGTATGGCTTCTGTCATGTAAATAAACATCAGACTTTAAAATCATTTGTATAAATTAGTGTGTTTTGCATGAAGCAGAAAAGTGTAGGTTATACAACTCTTTTTAAAGTACAGTACTATTTAAGGATAATTCTTACTATAATTCAGAACCTTGGTGTTGATGTTACCATTATTGTTGAAGTAGAATATTTTCTCCTGTTTTATAGAGTAAATCCTAAATCTTTAGATGGTATTTATTTCTAATATTTTGAATCTTGATATTTTAATTTATTTAAGTTTAAACTTATATGCAGAATAACACTGGTTTCTAACTTTTCGTCTAATTTTTGGAATTGTCTATAGACTTTGGAGAAGGTGGAGAAGTCTGATCTTTGTTTTATGGACCGTGATTTATTGCAAATTATCTTTAGCTTCAGTAAAGCTGGGTATCCTCAGTATGTCTCAGAAATTTTGGAAAAAATTACATATGAAAGAAGATACATTCCAGGTATATTTCAAACATTTATTTTCATGATTTTTATAAAAATTTAAACTGAGACTCTTACATGATGGAAAGGGCATTCCCTAACAGTAGGGGAGTGTGGATTGTGGTTGATGAACACAGGACTCTTAAAGACAGCATAATAAACCAAGAAACTTGAGTTAATGAATACATGGGAGTGTTTTGATTTGGAAGTGTTTTCGTCGTTATTTTTAATATATAACTGAAAAAAAGTCAGATATATCTTTTTGGTGTTTGCAATTCATAATTTTCTCTTTAGTCCTGGCTGCAGTGTAAAAATATTGTTCAATTCAGTAAAAAAGGTGTCTTTTCTTCCTAGATGCAATGAACCTCATTTTACTTTTAGTCACAGAAAACTTGGAAGATACAGCATTGCAAATTTTATTAGCATGTCCTGTATCAAGAGAAGACAGTCTGAGTGATTTTGGAAGTTTCTTTTTACGGCACTGTGTGACAATGAATACGGTATCCTATCCATTTTTACTTTATACGCAGTGTAATAAGCAGTGAAATAAGATTCTTTAAAATATAATGAAATATTATAAAATTAGAATTAGAAATAGGATAAGAACATCAAAGCTTTCGTCCTGAAAGGGGTAGAATATTTGCAGTAGGTCAAATGACAGAATATTTGCAGATTTAGCTGATGTGGTGACTTTCCCCCCCCCCCACAGCCTGTGGAGAAGCTGAGAGACTACTGTAAGAAGTTAAAGGAAGCCCAGATGCATTCATCTCCTTTGCAGTTCACACTGCATTGTGCTTTAGCAACCAAAAAAGCCGGTACTGTATTTTTATAATGGAAATCAATGTAAGTAAGTTTTGCTGAAGTAGTTTTGTAATATTTTATGGTATCTCTTTCAGGTTTGGCAAACGCTCTAATGAAGGCTCTGAAGGAAGAAGGTTTTCCTGTCAGAACTCATTATTTCTGGCCATTGATAGTTGGACATCAGAAGGAGAAAAATGTTCAAGGTTAAGTTTTTCCCTTTATAGATTCGTAATGGTTCACAGATCTAGTGTAACAGTGTGTACACACGTCAAGTTGAAATCTTTGGGCAAGCATACTTCTTCCTGAGTAGGAGATTTTCTGAGAAAATGGAATTGTCTTAAGTTATAATAAAATATTTCTAAAGCGTTTTTAGAAATAAAACCCGATGGACTTGTTTCATGTTAATTTCATTTGTTAATTCATCTCTGATCTTGCTGTTCAGACTTAGAAGTGTAGTTTTAAACAGCACATAATTTTTAAGTTTTTAATAAACTCTTTAGTTCTTGATTTCACTTACAGTGTTTGGTATTAGTTTGTCTAATCTTTAAAGGTAAAGTCACATACAGTCAGGTTCATCACAACAAGAAGTGTGGCCATGTTCTTTGTGGACCAGTCTGTTTCTTCTTAACTGAGCTGTGTTACAGTAAGGAAAGGCAGAAAACTTTTAATGTAAAGTAAGTGCTCATGACCTGACAGCCTGGTGATTGAAGGACAGAAATGCTTAATCTTTCAGGTTCTTAAGTAGGTTTAAGCATTTAGCATACTTTTCCCTGGTACACGTGGGATGTCTATAGGATGTGAATAAGAATTGAACAAATACTAAATTTTAGAGTACAGTATCTAATTCTTTGGTTTGCATTATTGGTAATTCAGAAAGAGTAGTCTCATAAAAAGATGCTTTTAACAGAAGTACTTCCCCCTTGGGGAAACAAAAAATGGTCTTTTTCATTTTATCTCACAGTATGATGTGCTTTAGAATGAGATGCAGAGTTGTTAGTCTGACACTGGGTGACAAACAAAATGCACAAACAACAAAAAAAGTGCTTTTAGCAGACTTTCATGTTGCAATTTTATTTTAAATATATAGTCGTCTTCTGGTTTAAAGGAATACTGAAACAAGTATTCCCTAATTGTTTCTGGCTATAAAAGTCTCTAAATCCTTTTTAGAAAAATCCTTGTGAAAACAGTATGCTATTTGATTAACTCTTTGCATATCCTCTAGTTCTGAAAGCTCCAAGAGGTAACCTTTAACTTAGTGTTTTTGAACCACAGAAAGTTTACATCATTCCTTGAAAATCTTTAGGTGTGTTACTATTGTCCATCTTTACAATAGTATGTGAAAATAGTTTTGGTCCCCTGTTGAAATATTTATCTATTCCTCAGGTAAATTTACTTACCTCAACCATCTCACAGTATCTAGGCTTGAATTAGGTTAATAGAAAAGAAGTCAGGTAATTTCTTTCTATAGTTGTAGCTTGAACTAGTAGAAAAACAGGCTTTATCCTAATTCATCTTTTCTTAGAATCTTAGAAATTAGATTTCAGAGGTGCCCTGTTGAGACCTCACGTTTTATTAATGAAGAAGCAGAGGTACAGAGAGGTTTGTTGACTGACCTGTGGTTCCATAAACATCTAGCTGTCGGTAGTGCTAGGATTAGGATTGAGGTGTTTTGCTTCCTACTTTAAATACTCTTTTTACATCACATCCCTGTCATATTAGACTTTGTAAATATTATGCCGCATTTATTTTATAAAAATTCTTAACTATTGGTTAAGAATTGGGTACCAGTTTTTACCATTGGGACATTTTAAAAAAGAGGTACCAAGTTTTTTGTTTTTTATTTTAACAATTTTTTCTTTCAATTGTACTTCAGATGAAGGTTTACAGAACAGACTAGCTTCTCATTAAACAGTTAGTACACATAATGTTTTATGACATTGATTAACAACCCCACAGCGTGTCAACACTCTCCCTTCTCGACCTTGAGTTCCCCATTACCAGCTTTCCTGTCTCCTCCTGCCTTCTTGTCCTTGCTCCTGGGCTGGTGTGCCCCTTTAGTCTCATTTTGTTTTATGGGCCTGTCTGATCTTTGGCTGAAGGGTGTACCTCAGGAGTGACTTCATTATTGAGCTGTAAGGGTGTCCAGGGGCCATACTCACAGAGTTTCTCCAGTCTCTGTCAGATGAGTAAGTCTGGTCTTTTTTTTTGCGAGTTAGAATTTTGTTTTATGTTTTTCTCCAGCTCTGCCCAGGACCCTCTGTTGTGATCCCTGTCAGAGCAGTCAGTAGTGGTAGCTGGGCGCCATCTAGTTGTGCTGGACTCAGTCTGGTGGAGGCTGTGGTAGTTGTGGTCCGTTAGTCCTTTGGACTAATCTTTTGCTTGTGTCTTTGGTTTTCTTCATTCTACCTTGCTCCAGATCGGGTGGGACCAGTGGAGTATCTTAGAAGGCTGCTCACAAGCTTTTTAAGACCCCAGACGCTGAGCCCAGGTTTTCTTAAACCTACTTTTGTTTCAGCTAGGAAGATAAAATAAGTTAAAAATAGTAGCATTACAGATCATTTACCTCCTCCTGGTAAACGTTATTGAAAAAAATGAAAAATTAAGAGAATGAAATACATTATTGCTACTTTTAATATTTGGTATTTTTAGGGTTTCACACATTTTTTTTTCCTTTAATTTTAATGACCACTCTGAGAAATATATAAGGAGCTTTGTTATCATTCCTGTATTACAGACAAGGAACCACTAAAGTCCACACTTTTTTGGTGGCAGAACAGGGACTTGATCCCAAGGAAAAAGTGTAGGTTAGCATTCTTGTAGTGTTGCCATAAGTACCTGTCAGCAGTTGAGAGACTTAGTTTCTAATTCAAGATCTGCCAGTAACTGTAATCTTGGAGAAATCACTTCACTTCACTTTCTTAAGATGAAGATGAGATGACTTCTCGAGTCGTTCTCCAGCTTTGTTAACGTAGAAAAGTACATCCACTAATAGACTGAATTGAAAGCATTGTTAATATATTAGAGCTTGACATATAGATCTAAGCTAAGTTGTAATGCTCGGATTGTTTTTGTTAAACATGTTACAGCTGTTTTTCTTGACATCTTCAATATTCTCTTAGGCCTAGACCACAAGAATTTCTTCCATACCTGGTGGTGATATTTACAGTTCTTAGAACTTTGCTGCCATCCATTCAGTAGGCATTTATCAAGCATCTAGAATCTTAGGTTCCTCGTTGAAACCTCACAGAAATAATTCTTCCCTTCATTGAGTGCCTTGGTACACATTGCCTTGCTTAATCCATGTATGGTAGTTAGAAGGATTAAGCAAAGCAATATATATACGTGTCTGGAAAGCAGTTTCCATATTGCCATTTCTAGTGCATAGGGTAAGAGATAAAGGCTCAGAAAAATGAAGTTATTTGCTCAGCGTTACACTGCCATTAAGTGGTAGAGAACCAGGGTTGAAAGCTAGGTCTCTTTAAACTCGAAAGATTTTCATGTCACTTCACCAGAGTGTCTTACTGTAAACCTAATTATTTACCTTAAACCATGGTCATGGAAACAACCATTATTGGTCAGAAAGGATGTTGAGAACATTAGAACAGCACAAGTCCTTCACTAGTAGTCGAAAGATAACTTAGCTCTGTGCTATCAGATGCTTAGTCATCTTTGCATGTGAAGAAGAGCACAGTATGATTGCCTCCTTTTATGGTCGTTATAAATGTTATTAGTAGTGATTCCCAGTGAATTGTTTGAGGAATCATTCTGATTTTTTTAAATTATTATTGTGCTTTAGGTGAAAGTTTACAGAGCAAATTAGTTTCTCATTCAAAAATTTATACACAAATTGTTGGTGACATTGGTTGCAGTCCCCACAATATGTCAGCACTCTCCCCCTTCCACCCTTTTCCATGGTTCCCCATGTCCATTAGTCCAATTTTCTGGTCCCTTCCTGCCTTCTCGTCGTTGCTTTTGGGCAAGTGTTGCCCGTTTGGTCTTATATACGTGAGTGAGCTAAGAAGCACATTCTCCACATGTGTTATTGTTTGTTATATAGGCCTGTCTAATCTTTGACTGCAAGATGGACTTCGGGAGTGGCTTCTCAGGGTGTCCAGGAGCCATAGTCTCGAGCGTTCCTCCAGTCTCTGTCTGACCAGTTAGTCTGGTCTTTTTTTGTAAATTTGAATTTTGTTGTATATTTTTCTCCCGCTCTGTCTAGGACCCTATATTGTGATCCCTGTCAGAACGGTCAGTGGTGGTAGCTGGGCTCAGGCTGGTGGAGACTGTGGTTCATGGTCCATTAGTCCTTTGGACTAATATTTTCCTTGTGTCTTTGTTTTTGTTTCTCCCTTGCTCTGGATGGGATGGGGTCAAAAGATGTATAAGGTTGCTCACAAGCTTTTAAGACCCCAAATTTTGCTTACAAATATTGTTGTTTATGTGTACTGGATGTCTATAACTACACACACATTCTCCTAAATTTATAGTAAATAAGTACATGCTTTTGTTTTTTAATTGTTGTTTTTGCTTCATTATTTTTACATCTTGAAAAAATGTATTTAAACCTCTAAGATTTTGAAGATAATTAGGTAATTTTAAATATAAAGAGCTCTTTAAATGTAAAATGCTATCTGTACTCAGAATTTTATTTAAAAGAAATATACAGATATTCATAATGTAATGAGACATGGCCATGTATTTTTGTAGTAGAGCACATTATGTAACAAATTTATAGAAATGTCATTTTTTCCGTAGGGGATATCATAGGGCAAAAAATGGACTTTTAGGGGAAGTTCTAATAATCTGAAAGTAATGAAGTAATGAAGCTTAGAAGTAAATTTTAAAAAGGAAAACAAGTATGTCCTTTATATTAAACTACAGCTTCTGTCAAATCAGGTGACACTTGAGTAGTTTGACAGTTTTCTAGAATTAACTGGATCTGATATAAAGAAATTAGTTTGTACTATTTGAAGCTAACTGAAGTTTTGAAAACTTGGAATGGCCTTTTAAGAAGTTATTAAAAGACTTTTTGGGGATGGGGAAGGGAAGAAACAGCTAAAATTTTTAAATAATTTTAAATATAAATAGACAGTACTTTGTTAGAACCAAATTACTGTATTCATTTTATATTCTTATATTGTAAAATATGAAGGAGTCGGAAGTTAGTAACAATTAGGGGTTTTTTTTTTTTTTTTACGTAAATACTAAAAAGCGCTTTTGACAGTGGTTTTATCTTTGCAGATTCCCCTTCACTAACCCCACCCCCAAAGCCCCTCTACTTTGCAGCATTTATTCTTGTCAAGGTTCATTGTGTAGGTCCAGCATTGCGGTATAATAGCAGTGATGTTTTATGATCTCTATTCAGTTGAGGTGCCAAATATGTTAGGCATATTGCTTAATTGTTTTAAGTTTCCTTGTTGTCATAATTTCTAGGACATTTTCTTTCTTTTTTTTAAATTGTGCTTCAGGTGAAAGTTTACAGCTCAAGTTAGTTTCTCATACAAAAATTTATACACATATTGTTATGTGACATTAGTTGTAATCCCTGCAGTGTGACAGCGCACTCCTCCTTTCCACTCTGGTTTCTTGTATCTGTTCAACCAGTTCCTGTCCTTTCCTGCCTTCTCATCCTGCCTCTGAACAGGAGCCGCCCATTTGGTCTCATGTATCTGATTGAACTAAGAAGCACACTTCTCACCAGTATTTTTTGTTTTATAGTCCAGTCTTATCTTTGTCTGAGGAGTGGGCTTCGGGAGTGGTTTTGGTTCTGGGTTAACAGAGTGTCTGGGAGCCACAGCTTCCAGGGTTCCTCCAGTCTCTGTCATACCATTAAGTCTGGTCTTTTTATGTGAATTTGAGTTCTGCTGCACACTTTTCTCCCGCTCTTAGTACTCACTGCTGAATTAATAGAAAGAGATGAAGAAGAGAGGAATTTATTTTTTTCTTTTATCATTTTACCCCCCAGTTCTGTTTGCTTTTCTGTCTTCTTTTCCAAACAAACAAAATATTGAGGACTTTTCCTACATTGTGATTCAGAACGTAATTGAACCAAACTTTTCTGATCTTTTGTAATTTCCTTCAAGTTTTTCATCTGTGCTTCCAATTTTTATCTTGTAGGTATTATTGAAGTCCTCAAAGGAATGCATGAAATGGGAGTAAATCCTGATCAGGAGACTTACATAAATTATGTGTTTCCTTCTTTTGATAGTGTAAAGTCAGCCCGTGCTGCTTTGCAGGTGAGTACAACTGTGGTTTCAATTTCATAATCAGAGAGTGTTTCTTTTCTTCCTTATGTTTAGTGGTGACCAGAAAAAAAGTTACTGAGCTTTATTTTCTAAAGCTTTATAAAAATATAGGGTAACATCTTGTACTGATTGAACTTAAAAAGGACATGCAGCATTTTTCTTGTGTGTTAAAAAGACAGTATGCAAATATTAGAAAAATTTAAATAAAAATATTCACTCCTTAATCCCACTTATAGTGCAATTGCCGTTTTCATCTCTTGAGTGTTACTTTTCAATGTGTATTTTTTATGAATGCAATCATAGTATATTTGCTATCCTGTATTCTTTTTGGTTTTAATAGTCTTTTGTTTGACTCTAAAGCATCAATTTACCTGCCAAATACTTTTTGTGCCTACCAGAATTGACAAGGATTTGATGAAGGGCGTGTGAAAAAGTTGACTTGGGCAGTGCATTGGATCAACAAGGGTTGCATTTTCCATTTTCAAAGCAAAGAGCTGTACAGTTAGGAACGACGTGGTAGAGTAACAAATAAGAGGAAATATTTTGTTCCAAAGATCTGCTTCCTAGGCACTTAAGTAATGCCTTGATTTTTCTAATATTGTTAGAATGCTCCTTTCTTCCCTTCAAATAATTACGTAGTTATAATCCTCTTAAAGGTAGAGTCTATGTTTTGAGTGTCTTTATTTCTCTACCCTGAGGATTCAGCAGAGTATTTTGAGCCTGTGGTATACATATTCTATTGTTAAAAAACAAGTAGCTGTTTCCACATTTTCGTATTTCCCCAAATGTTTTCTTTCCCTGCAGAAGTATAACCCAGGATTTCAGTATCTTCTTGATACTGCTTCTGATTTCTCACTAGTGACTTATCTAGGGAAAACCAGATCTAATTTGGGAACTTGTCTTAAATTTCATTACATTCATTCTCAACGAGCTTTTGCATCCATTGCTGGAATTTCATTATTAAGTATTGTTTTGGAGACAATGACTCTGTTATGTGCTTAATAGAAAAATCCACAGTATTGATACACTGTTATCTTTAGCTACACATGGATACACTGCATTAAAAAAATTTTTTGTATGTATTTTTAAAAATTGCATAATACATGTTTGCTGATAAGTTAGAAAACAAGTGATATGTCTACACAACTCATCCACAGTTCTTTGAGTAGTCATTATTGCTTAACCTGTGTAGACCCTTTCAGCGTATGCTTGAAAAATGTTTTAGAAAAAATGGATTATACTATCCATATTACCCAACAATGTATTTTTTCATTTAGCCCCTTTCCGTATCAGAATGTAATTCCACAGATTATTTTTTATGCCTGCATACTGTTTTGTTGTATAGATATACCATAGTTTATTTTTATCAGTTACTTATTGTTGATTATCAAGGTGTTTTTTAATATTGGACTATCATAAAATGATCCAATAAATATATTTGAGCTAAATTTTGGCCCATATACTTAAATTATTAAACAAATGATTATGTTAGGACAAGTGACTACTCCTTTGGAGTTACAAAACAAATTAAATTTGATCCTTACCTCACTTTTTACATGTTACTGTTCTTAGATGCTGTTGAGTTGGTTCTGACTCATAGCGACCCCATGCATAGCAAAACGAAAAACTTTCTGATCCTGCACCATCCTCACAATTGTTGCTATGTTCGAGCCCATTCTTGCAGCCGCTGTGTCAGTCCATCTCGTTGAGGATCTTCCTTCTTTTCACTGACCCTCTACTTTACCAAGCATGATATCCTTCACCAGGGACTGGTCCCTCCTGATAACACGTCCAAAGTATGTAAGATGAAGTCTCGCCATCCTCACTTTAAGGAGCATTCTGGCTGTACTTCTTCCAGGACAGATTTGTTCATTCTTATGGCAGTCCATGGTATATTCACTATTCTTTAGCATTATAATTAAATGTATCAGTTCTTTGGTCTTCCTTATTCATTGTCCAACTTTCTCATGTATATGAGGTGATTGAAAATACCACAGCTTGGGTCAGGTGGACTGTATCCTCAAAGTGACATCTTTGCTTTTCAGCACTTCGGAGACGTCTTTTGCAGCAGATTTGCCCAAGGCAGCATGTCATCTCTTGACTGCTGCTTTCATGGGCGTTGATTATGGATCCAAGTTAAATGAAATCCTTCAATCTTTTCTCCATTTATCATGATGTTGCTTATTGGTCCAGTTGTAAGGATTTTTCTTTGTTTTATGTTAAGGTAATCCATACTAAAGGTTGTAGTCTTTGATCTTCATCAGTAAGTGTTTCAAGTCCTCTTCACTTTCAGCGATCAAGGTTATGTCATCTGCTTACTGCAGATTGTTAATGAGTCTTCCAGTCTTTATGCTGCATTCCTCTATATAGTCCAGCTTCTCGGATTATTTGCTCAGCATATAGATTGAATAAGTCTAGTGAAAGAATACAACCCTGACACACGTTTTCTGGTCCTAAACCATGCAGTATCCCCTTGTTCTGTTTGAATGACTGCTTCTTGGTCTATGTACGGGTTCCTCATGAGCACAATTAAGTGTTCTGGAATTCTCATTCTTCACAGTGTTATCCATAATTTGTTATGGTCCACACAGTCGAATGCCTTTGCATAGTCAATAAAACACAGGAAAACATCTTTCTGGTATTCTCTGTTTTCAGCCGAGATCAGTCTGATGACAGCAATGATATCCCTCATTCTACATCCTCTTCTGAAACTGGCTTGAATTTCTGGCATTTCCTGTTGATACACTGCTGTAACCGTTTTTTAATTATCTGCAGCATAATTTTACTTGCGTTTATTATTGATACTTTTCGATAATTTCCTCATTCTGTTGGATCACCTGTCTTTGGAATGGGCACATATATGGATCTTTTCCAGTCGGTTGGCCAGGTAGCTGTCTTCCAAATTTCTTGGCATAGACGAGTGAGCGCTTCCGCATTGCATCCACTGAAGCCTTGTTTTCACCAATGCCTTCAGTGCAGTTTGGACTTCTTCCTTCAGTATCATTGGTTCTTGATCATATACTGCCTCATGACATGGTTGAATGTCAACCAGTTCTTTTTGCTACAGTGACTCTTGTGTATTTCTTCCATCTTCTTTTGATGTTTCCTGCGTCATTCAGTTTTTTGCCCATAGAACCCTTCAGTTTTGTAACTTGAGGCTTAACAGTTCTTTCAGCTTGAGAAACACTGAGCATGTTCTTCCCTTTTGGTTTTCTAACTCTGGGTCTTCGCATATTATAATACTTTATAAGAAATTGTTTTCTCGAGCCACGCTTTGAAATCTCTTTTCAGCCCTTTTACTTCATCATTTCTTCCATTCACTTTAGCTGCTTTACCTTGAAGAGCAAGTTTCAGAGTCTCTTCCGACATCTATTTTGGTCTTTCCTTTCTTTCTTGTCTTGTTAATCACCTTTTGATTTCTTCATGTTTGATTTCATCCCACAATTCATCTGGTCTTCCGTCATTAGTGTTCAGTGTGTCAAATCTGTTGTTGAGATGGTCTCTAAATTCAGGTGGGATGTGCTCAAAGTCGTATTTTGGTTCTCGTGGACTTGTTCTAGTTTTCTTCAGCTTCAACTTGAACTTGCATACGAGCAGTTGATGGTCTGTTTCACAGCTGGCCCCTGGCCTTGTTCTGACTGATGATATTGCACTTTTCCATCGTCTCTTTCCACAGATGTAGTTGATTTGATTCTTGTGTATTCATTTGGCGAGGCCCACATGTATAGTTGCCATTTTTATTGTTGAAAAAAGGTATTTGCAATGAATAAGTTGTTGGTTTTGCAAAATTCTATCATGTGATCTCCAGCATCATTTCTATCACCAAGGCCATATTTTCCAACTACCAATCCTTTTTCTTTGTTTCCAACCTTTGCAGTCCAATCACCAGTAATTATCAGTGTGTCTTGATTGCATGTTTGATCAATTTCAGACTGCAGAATTCGGTAAAAATCTTCAGTTTCTGCATCTTTGGCCTCAGTGGTTGGTGCGTAAATTTGAATGATAGTCATATGAGCTGGTGTTCCTTGTAGACGTAGGATATTATCCTCTCACTGACGGCATAGGATAGGTCTTGAAATACTCTTTTTGACGATGAATGCAATGCCATTCCTCTTCAATTTGTCATTCCTGGCATGGTAGACGATAGATTGGCTGATTCAGAATGTCCAATACCAGTCCATTTCAAGTCTTGAATGCCTAGGATATCGATCTTTATGCACTACATTTCATTTTTGACAACTTCCAGTTTTCCTTGATTCATACTTCATACATTCCACCTTCTGATGATGTTTGCAGCTGTTTCTTCTCATTTTGGTTCTTGCCACATCAGCAAATGAAGGTCCCAAAAGCTCAACTCCATCTACATCATTATGGTCAACTCAACTTTGAGCAGGCAGCTCTTCCCCAGTCGTATTTTGAGTGCCTTCCAACCTGAGGGGCCCATCTTCCAGCACTATGTCAGATAATGCTCCACTGCTATCCATAAGGATTTCACTGGCCAGATTCTTCAGAAGTAAATTGCCAGGTCGTTCTTCCAAGTCTGTCTTAGTCTGGAAGCTCCACTGAAACCTGTCGACCAAGGGTGCCCCTGTTGGTACTTGAAATACTGGTAGCTTCCAGCATCAGCAGCAGACAAACCACCACAGCAGGACAAACTGACAGACGAGTGGTGGACTTTTTACGTAGACTCACTGAAATTTTATTTAACTGTGAGTAAAAAAATAGTTATAGCGTCTTCAATTGTAAAATCTTCCTAGAAGGAAGGTGTCACTAAGGATAGCAGATTATCTGTAATTTGAAGGTACCCACTAGGTTTGAAAAGTTGGAATTCCTTTATCTTAACTTTTCCTAAAGTTCAGTTATTCAATTTATGTATTCTAGAAAAAAAAAATTTCTTAAATGAAATATCAGAATATGCCGATACAGACAAATGGGAAAAATAGGAAATTTCAATAGCATATCATAATATTTTTTACTAAGGCATACTATCATTAAAATATGCTTTATCCCTAGGAAAATGGATGTCTACCTGAAAACAGTACATTTTTGCAAGCTGAATTGAGAAGTGAAGCTCTAAATGGGAACTTAGACTTTGTTTTATCATTTTGTAAGTATGTAACATTAGCAGTAAACTTCACAGGTATTGATTTCGAGTACCTTTGAGGGCATTCAATATAGTCCATATGATGAAAGCAGGGAAGTTTTTATATATTTTATGAAGGCCAGACTGATAAGACAGTTTATGAGTTGAACTTGTTGATAATTTGGAAGTAATTTTAAAGTTGTAAGGAATTGGAGATAATCTGAGAAATTTCAGGTATGACATGGTGTTAGGGTAGAGGTTGGACTGGGGGCCCCATTGACCTGGGTCTTATTTATGATTCAGCTGCTGATTATGTGGCCTGGAATAAGTCTTCTTTCTGTGCTTCAATGTAATGAAACAGGTAGTGCTACCTATCTGTCTGCCTTATGGGGATTGTTGTGAAAATTAGATATTTGTATAAGTGCTTTCCAAACTAATGTCTGTTATAGTAGTGAGTTATATGAAGTCATCTCCCAGTCCCTGTTTAAAAACACAGACACACATACACAACGGATGTTTATTAAACACTTATAAATGCTGGGGTGCTTTACAGTGCTCACCACATGTTAATAATTACCCCACTTATACATGAAGAAAGGCATGTTGTTGTTGTTAGGTGCCACTGAGTCGCTTCCGACTCATAGCAACCCTATGGGACAGAGTAGAACTGCCCCATAGGGTTTCCAAGGAGTGACTGGATTCGAACTGCCAACCTTTTGGTTAGCAGCCATAGCTCTTAACCACTGCCCCACCAGGGCTCCGAAAAAAGGCATAGTGAGGTTAAAAGTCTTACTTCATTTTTGCACATCTATCACATTACTTGATAATTTTTCATATCTTGTGAAAAATATATAAACATACCAATTTGTAGCCTCCTAAAATATTAAAAATTCAGCTCTGATTAGTGTATATGCGAATTATATAGGTAGAAGCTTTGTAAAAACCAGATTGTTGCTATATATTACTCTTGTGTGTCATTTAAATTAGTTCATAATATTGTAAAGGAAAGGCACGTGTCCACTATGAAAAATGACTGTCAGACTCAGAGGTGTAATTGAGTTGAAGGTAGGGTGTTCATGCTGACTGTTACCAGAGTGTATTGATTTTGCTTTCCACTCTGTATAATACATAGTTTTTCCATACTGACAAGGTGAGAAAAGAAACAGCAGAAGAATCTGGGCATGTAAGGTGCATGCATGAGAGCTACCTTTTCCTTTTATCTTACCATCTGTTCCACTTCATTGTCAACCTCTTGATTTTTCAGAATTGTTTGTTGCTAAGGAAACTAGATGGTTTTTGTCAGCAGCCTTCCAGCTTGCTGAGATGTGTCTGATCATCTTTTTAATGAATGAAAAACTCGACCATATTCTTATAAAATACTATTTTAAATAGTATAAAAACAAATTCGCCAGAGGGTGTTTATTAAGTTTGGGGAAAAAAAATATACCTGGAACTCTAAGGCTGAAGAATATTTCCGCTTGGTCCTTTCGGTGCCCTCCCTTCCCTCTTTGATTTACAGGTGTTTGAAGAGCATTTCATTCTAAAATTGTTGTTATTTGTGTTGGCAGCTCCTTGGTAATCAGTGTTGGTTACTACATCATACGGAATGTCAGGTAGCAGAGAAGAATAAATGGCTTATCTTGATCAGCTCTGTGGGGTAGTAAGAAACATTTTCCCACTTTGTGTTTGTGGGCATGGAAAATTACTAAAAATTTGATCAAGCTGAGTTGAAGGTTGCTGAGAGACAGGTGGTTGTATCCACCTTAAAACTTCTTGAGTGGCTAAGCATAGATCAGTTTTTATGATTTTTAGATTTTCAAACACTGAAACTACAGAGAAACTTTATGCAGTCTGTTTAAGGAATAGAACAACTTATCTAAAACAATTTTCTCTATGTGTGTGGGCTAATTTTTTATTTACATTTAGGGAAATTGAACAAGTAATCTTAAAATGACTGTGACTTCCCATGAGTTTATTTTTTAAGTAAACCAAGTGTCTTAATTTTCACCTAAACTGTATTTATTAATTCTGTTTTCAGAATTTGCCTCTGCTATGAATTCCTGTCTAATTCCATCTATCTTGGGTCATTCAGTAGCCAGTTACATTTATCCTGAATAGACTCCCTTAGTTACTTGTAATATGGTGCAATTTTAATACGCTGGCAGGGTAAAATAAATTCAGGACGTGCCTACTTGATCCTGTCGCTTGTGAATCATGACAAGGATTATGTGAAGAAAAAGCATGAGGCCTGATTTTTACATTAAATCAAGCTATAACGTCAGCACTGAAACACACAAGTCATAGACTATTAAATGCCAAAATGAGCACTAGAGCAAACAAATGCTCCAAAAGGTGAAAGGTCAGTACAAATCAATTACACAGTAGAGGTGAAGACTTATCTTACTGTGACTTAGGCGTGTCACTCTTGTATGAATGCAGATCATGTATCGTAGCAGAAAATACAGTGGGAAAGTGTGGATGGTTCAACAGAATCCAACACCACTTTCAGAAAAGCTTTCCTCTTCATCTGCTGTCTTTAGAGGACAGAAGTCCCATAGGGTAGTTACAGTCTCTCCCTTCATAGTGCTCACAGTGCCCAGTAAACACACAGCCTCAGTGTGTGTACCAAGTAGGCACTTCAGTATCTAGTATATTACTAACTGGCATTTATATGAAAGAATATAAATTCATTTGTTGTATGTATTCATGAAAATAAAGTAAAAATGCCTTAAAAGGGTAGTTTTTATTATAAATATGTATTACTGTATTTAAATATATGTTTAATTGATTAATTAATTAATTTTGTATGGAAGCACTTTTGTTTTTTAAATAAGACTTCCAAAATGAAAATTGAAAGGAATTGGTATAATTGTGTTTCCAAGTAGGTTAATAATTTAGGACTTGTTTCTGTCTTAGATTTAATGATGATCATTTTCTTTTGCAGTGGAATCAAATACATTGCCTTTCTCGATTAATTCTGTGAGAGGCAGCCTGATTTTAGGCTTTAGGAGGTAAGATAATTACCTTATATAATGTTCTTTGCCTAATTTTCGGTATTTATTTTTTCCTGTCTTTTTGACCTACTGTATGAGAAACAATACAGATGTTTTTATCTTCCAAAATACTGGTTACCTGAAATAACTGTATCTGCCGTATTCTTCCTGATAATTGACTTGAATTTAGGCAGCTTTCCTTAAATGTTTGTGGGCCACTTTTTTATCTTTTCCCAGAAATAACACGCAGATTTGATAAGGTCCTGTTTCAAGAAAGCACTGTTTGAAAATGGCAAGTCGGAGTAATAGGCAAATTTGAGTGTATGTTTGGTTTATACTTTGAACATTTAATTCCAGGATGGATTTTATTCAGAATAATTCTGCTCTCCTCCTCACTACTTTCTATGTATGCTTACCTCCTCTGGCCCAATTTTGTTAATTTGAAAATGTTAAAACATAAAGAAAAGTTGAAAAAATAGTACAGGGAACACCCATATACCCTTTATCTGGGTTCACCAATTTTTAATATTTTGCCATATTTATTTGCTCTTACGTGCACTCTTTACTATATACATATACATGCTTTTTTTTGGCACTGACTCCTTGAAGTTACAGAGATCATGATCTTGGATCCTTTAGTATATATCTCTGAAGAATAAAGTCATCATCATAATCATAATACCAATATTACTCTTAAAAATTTAATAATGCTATAATATTATCTGAAGCCCTGGTAGCACAGTGGTTGAGAGCTATGGTGAACTATGGCTGCTAAGCAAAAGGTCAGCAGTGCGAATGCACCAGCCACTCCTTAGAAATCCTATGAGTTTACTCTGTCCTGTAGGGTCGCTATGAGTTGGAATCAACTCGACAGTAACGGCTTTGGTTTTTTGATATAATATCTAATATATGTAGTCCATACTCAGATTCTCCCACTTTTTTTATTGAGGATTCAATTAAAGGAATATTAGCTCTGTGTTTGGTTTGCTGCAGTATCCCCAGCACCTAGAATAGTACCTGGCACATGATAAGTGCTTAATTGAATTAATTATCGAGGCCATTTTTATTCTGTGTTTCTGCCTCTGTTTTTGAAAATTCCTTTTAAATCAACAAGTTTTTATTATTGAGATTGAAGATGTTGATTGGGATCAGTTTATAAAATGTGTTAAATGCCATGTGAAGGAACTTGTTCTTTGTTTTGAAGAAAGTGGGATAACTTGTGCAGTGTAGAGGCTTGGTTGAGGCAGAGATACCACTTAGAAGGTGTTTTAATTTTAGACATTGTATTTTTCATTTCTAGAAATTCGAAGTTTTTTTTGTCTTACATCTCAACATTCTCATGCTTCTTGAATATATGGAAATATTAATAATAGTTTTTTAACTCTCTTTTTCTATTCTATTACGTGTATAATTTCTGGGTCTGTTTCTCTTGCTAATTTATCTCCTCGTTATGGGTCAAGGATCATTCTTACTTCTTTGCCTACCTGATAATATTTGATTGGATGCCAGATATTGTGGATTTTAGGATATTGGATGCTGGATTTTTTTTGTATTCCTTTAAATATTTTTGAGCTTTGTTCTGAGACAGAGTTTAAGTTACTTGGAAAGAGTTCGATTCTCTCACTGCTTGTTTCTAAGCTTTGTTAGGCAGTACTAGAACAGTTATGAGTCTAGGGTTGGCCCCACTAACCTAACCTCAGTGCTAAGGCAGTATCCTTCTGAGTACTCTACCTGATGGCCTATGTATTTTGAGATTATTGGGATATTCTAAGCCCTGTGTGAGTTCTGGGAATTGTCTCACCTGCTCTGAAAAGGCCTCAGCTACTTTCTTCACATGCATGTGCTTGTCACTACTCAGCTGAAGACTTGAGGACAATGTCTCATCATTGCTGGAAGCAAAAAACTTTTAGAATGATTTTTAAATTAGATTAAGGATGAGATGGTATGTCAGGGGTTTCCGAGACCACCTCTGGGTTCCCAAGGAGAACTCAAAAGATTCAGCATATAGTCATACTAAGATTTATTACAGTGAAAGTATACAGTGGGCAAAGTCTGGATGAAACCAAGCTTCCAAGAGTCCTCTCCCAGTAGAGTCACACATAAGGTGCTTAATTCGTCCAAGAGCAAGTTATGACAACATGAATGAAATGATGTCTACAAGGGAAGCTCACCTGAGCCTAGGAGTCCAAGGTTTTTATCAGGGATCGGTCATGTAGACACCCTCTGCCTAGCACATACCAAAATTTCACACTTCAGAAGGCAAGCAGGTGTTTAGTGTAAACCACATGTTTTGGTTTAGGCACAAGCAGTTTAGGCACAGTGAGCCACTCTTATCATCTAAGGAATGGTAGGGACCCTCTGGAAATCTGATCTTTGGCTGGTTGGCCAACCAGAGGCCAACCTTGCAAGCAGGCCTTTCTAAGGATAACAATCTCAGCCTCTATGGATGTGGGTGTAACCAACAGATGGGTGATTAAAGCCATACACTGTTGAGGGAAGGAATGTAGATCAATGATTCTTAAACTTTTTTGAGTCATGCATTCCTTTGAGAATCAGTTGACAACTATGGCTCATGTTTCCAGAAAAATGTGCGTACATATAAAATTTTAGCTATAATTTTATGAGGTTCACAAAGTAGTTTCCCTTCCTGCATTTAAAAACTCTTATTGTAGAAACCAAAATTAAGAACTTGGAATATATTCTTGTATACTTTCTCTGAATACAAATGAATACCTGTAAAAAATGTTTCAGTTAAAAAAAAAAAAAAGAAGTATACTTTATATACCACTGCTCAATCTGTGCTCTTTACTGAAAAGTACTGCATAGACTTACTGGTCCACCAATATCAATGTAATTTTTTAAAAATAGCTGCAGAAGGGTGAGACAGTACACAATACAGGAGAAACTAGCACAACTTGTACTAGGAAAGGTCGTGGAAGCCCCACAGACACATCCAAACTCCCTGAGGGACTGAATTGCTGGGCGGAGGGCTGTGTGGCCCATGGTCTCGGGGAACATCTAGCTCAATTGGCATGACACAGCTTATAAAGACAATGCTCTACATTCTACCTTGGTGAGTAGTGTCT